GTGCATCTAGCGAAGGTAAAGTCCCTGTGTTCCTGGGAGCATTTTAGCAGGTAAAAATACTATGCACTCTGCAGTTCCTGTGTTCGTATGTCGAATAACCTACATTTTAATGTAGGCTCTGCAGTCTGATACCTAAACCACTGAAATTATATCCAAGAATGATTACAGCTGAAACTTGCTTAATTCTCTGGGGTCATCTCATCATCCAGGGGCAGTTGCTGCGGACTCTGTTAATCCAGCAAGCAGGGCTGATAGCCAGGGATGATGGGAGCTGTAGGCCAACAGGTTTCTCAGCCATTTTCGAGAGTAAGACAAAATGATGGAAACCAGCAATGGCTTTTATGTATATATACAAATAATTATTATAGATAAAAATAACTTATATTATGCCAATCAGTAAGGTAGCTTTCCATGCCAGCTAAGGAAACACAACAATGAAACAACACCGTATACAATGACTGCATGGGAGTAGCATTGTTTTTCTTTGGCTTGAGAACCAGACATCACTTTGACAAACGTAATTTCTACACTGGAGAAGACAGCTAAGGACATGTGGGCATTTGCTAGGCATGGTAAACATTATCTCCTAACACTGACTGGCTTAACATGAGGGCAGACTGGCAAAAATCCATTCTCAATTGCCACAGTACAATTGGGCTTGCAATCATAGCCAGTCCCACTATTAGATACAACGAAGCCCAGAGTAGTGGCAAAGTGTTGGTGGACATGGCAGTGTGTAATACAGTCTTGTGTTTGCCCCAAATGACCAAACAAAAGGTTGCCAAAAATTGGCAGGGCATACCCCTCGCATGATCCACAGGCTCCCTCTACTTGTACCCACGTATGCTGGCTTGATGCCCCCAGTACAGTGAAAAATGCAGGATTGTCACCAGTGCCGAAGTAAGAGTCAACTGCTACTCCAGTCAGATTTTATGCGTGTAACTGGAGTGGAATGTTATCTTTTTGCCTCAAGGTGCTGGCTCCCACTGGGTGGTGTGTATTCCTCTGAGGTGTGTATGTGTAGATGGTACTTTTGTCAATTTTTTGGTTAAAAGAAGTTGGGCCATGACAAAGAAGTAGCTAGGAGGTGGGGATTTCTCAAAAATAAAGGGAGTGTAATGCTGAAAAGTTTGGGAACTGCTGCCTCAGGACTGTTACGGGCCCCGAGTCCTGCTGTAGACACTCTTACAGGGCAAGTTACACTGAATGCAACATGGTTTACTTCTGAGTGGAAAATTATAAGAGTGATTACACAAGACTCTGCTTCACATTGAGAATCAGTGCAGTGGGTAAGACGCCAATACTAGGACACAGGAGCCTTGGATTCAAATCCACACTTGGCTGTGGAAACTCACTGGGCAGGTGGCATTGGTAAAACCACTCTTTAAATACCTCACTCACTTAAGAAACTCAACTAGGATCACTGCTAAGTCTGAACTGACTCAATGGCACATAACACAAATGCTTTTCAGTAAGCTATGCAACTGTAATGTGATGCTGCATGTGGACTTGTTGTGATGGTGCATTTATGCATTACACCATTTCTTTTCTACCAACAGAAACAAAACAAGATCGATGGACAAAAACTGGCCAAATAATCCCATCTTGAATTTGCCTGTGCCTTCATTTGCCACAAGTGAAAATCCTAGGCTGAGTCAATCGTTGTTCTCAAAGTCAAGGAGAAAATCTGAAGGCGACAAGAAAATGTTGTGACATGTCTGCAGCCAATCCCTTTATTATGCCCTCATTCCTTAAGTGAATGAGGGCATAATAAGATTGTATAGAGTGTGATCTATTCACTGTGTGCTCAGTAAAGAATCAATACTCCACTGCAAAGTAGAATTTGGAAGAGTTATGCTTTTGGAGTACAGCTCCCAGAACTCCCCTAGCAAGCTTGGCCAGTTCTTGCTGGGGGATTCTGGATATTACAGACCAAGAAAGTACCTTTTCTAACCTCTTGGAATAGGCAGAAGATACATCTAAATGTCTGATGATATGCAGTAGATCAGCAAGGGTTTCTGACTCGCACCAAATATTTTTTCTCCATTTAGAAAGCTTAACTAAAAGCTTGGTGTAACCAAGGATGAATTTCTATGAGAAAGGAATCACAGAATTACTGAGTTGGAAGGGATCTCTTCTATCAGGCTCAATCTAGCCCATCTTTTACCCATTTAGGAAATCCCAGATAAAGCATCCTTGACACATGGTCATTCAACTTGTTTAAAAGCCTCAAATGTCCACCATTTTCTGAGACAGTCTGTTTTACTACTGAACTTTTCTTATCACCAAGAAAGTTCCTCCTAATGTTTAGTTTAATTGGTTGTTGTGGGTTTTCCGGGCTCTTGGGACGTGTTCTGAAGGTTAAATTAGCTGAATTCTCTTATCTTGCTGTTTGAAAACTGACTTCCTCCAGATCAGCTTGCAATATGTTCCACGCAACAGAACTTTACATATTTGAACATGACTATTCTGTAACTTGTCAACTGTTTTTTCCTCCAGGCTCAACATAATGTACCCACTCATCCCCAAACATTCTTCACAGGACTTCGTTCTCAGACCTGTTATCATTCACATCATAAAACACAGCTCAGTTCCGATACTGAACATGCTGAACAATTTTGCTGGATGGATCTGGAGTTGACACCAGAAAAGCACAATGCAGATTTGATAAACCAGAAGTCTGCCACCCCATCTCACTTCAGAGGAGTGATGCATGGTGGATATGCATTTTGCTTCCCTCCAAACATTAGTCTGGATTATCTTTATTTCAAGAATAAGATTTTTTTTTCTAATCAAACTAAGGAAGCTCCTTATTTATTTATTTATTGGACTTATATACCGCCCCATAGCGCTACAAGCACTCTCCGGGCGGTTTACAATTTCATTATACAGGCTACACATTGCCCCCCCAGCAAGCTGGGTACTCATTTTACCGACCTCGGAAGGATGGAAGGCTGAGTCAACCTTGAGCCGGCTACCTGGGATTTGGACCCCAGGTCGTGAGCACAGTTTTAGCTGCAGTACAGCGTTTTAACCACTGCGCCACGAGGCTCCTTGCCCCACTCTACCCCAAGTTAAGACCCCTCTCCCAAAGGTCCAGCAGTACACCCCATTCCAGTTACTAATGGTGCAACAACAGCTTCAATGCCTTATATGTCATGCAAGTTATACAGGGCAAAGTCCTCCAGGGAGAAAAACACGTATCTTGTGAGCAAGCTTAAAAGAGCAACTAAACTCAGGAAATAGCTGGACAGTCTTCTGACAGTATTTTTTTCTTTTGTGTCAACATCAGCCTAGTACAATACACAAACCTCATGAACAAGAATTGCACACAATTTCTCAAATCTATTTTAGAGGGAAGCTGATCCCTAAACTCCCAATGTACCCGGCATATCTGATTTTAATTCTGTGATTCATGTTAACGAAGTTCAGATGTGTCTCCTACATAACAGGAGACAGACAAATGATTAAGATTATTTTCATAGATAAATATATCTCATATATATGTTCCTATAGATGTTTGCAATAAACTTCATCATGTAAATAGGACTGATTTTCAAGGAACTGTGCACAGGAAGGTTGCAAAAACTGAAGTGGTATACTTGCTTACCTAGCAGCAAGCTGCACTTAACTCAATGGGACTGACTTCTCAGAATGTATGTACAGAATTGCACTGTCAAAGTTGAGCCTCACAAACAATTCAGCACATGGGAACTGGAGAGATGATCTCATCATACACCTGCCCCAGACCAAGTTAAGCCAGGTCTGTGCTTTCATCCAGTTGCACAAGATGTGGTTTTGACACTGACATTTACAGTGATTTGTCTTGGCACACCAAGGTCAAATTATGAGCATGCCAGTTTATGCACATACCTGGCTTATAATTAGGTCAAAGTGCTTGGAGTTAGTACAACCTATGATTTCTAGTTCAGTGGTTTAGGTATCTGGTTGCGAAGCCAGTGGTTAGGAGTTTGATTCCCCACGGTGTCTTGTCCCAGAGCGCCTCCCAGAAGAAGAGTATGGAACACCCTGAAAAGGATCACCATGTCAGAATTGACTTGATGGCTCATGCTGATGATTGCCCTTTCTTCGAAATAAAGCTTCATTATTTTTTAATTAAACATACCTCCTAGTGGTGTGTACATTCCATATAAGTGGCTCAGGGAAAGGCCCACGGAATCCCATTTGAGTTCACAGAGAAGGATGTCCCGCCAACAGTTGTTTTCCCAGAATTGCATCCAAGATAGACTCTAATAGTCTAATACATCTTTTTAAAAAACCTGGCACCCTCCAGTTATTTCAGATCACATCTTTCACCAGCCTTTCAGCCATGCTGGCTGAGAATAAAAGTTGTAGTCCAACTCATGTGGAAAGTGGCAGATTACAGAAAGTTGCAATCAATGCTGCTGTTCTTTTCAAATCCAGATTGCCTTTACATCTTTTGAATTTCAACATCCAGCCCTCAAATTAATTAAACAGTAACTGAAAATAAAAATCAGTGTCTGAGCATTGGCAAACTGATTACAGTATCTCCAATTCCCTCTCCACCATTAGCTGAGATATCAACATATCTGCTTCAAGGTCAAGGTGTTTGTTAACAAGAACTACCTCTCTTGCAAAATAAATAAATAGCAATTGAGAAACCAGTTTCCATTAAAATCCTCAAATATGTTTTGTGCAATCTTGTGACTCTACAATCTTGTGCAAAGATTATAAAGTTCACAAACTGAAGTAAGACTAAACAGGAGTGGAAGCAAACTTAGCTGCAGGTGCACAAATAAAAAGTTTGATCCATTAATTCCTTGGTGCTTGGGATCGAGGCGAGATTAAAACAGTTGTTATCACGTAAAGATCTAGACCGCAGGATTTTTTCTCTCTCCGCGTGTCCTCCTTCCTACACTTTGCGCCGCCTCCTAAACACTTTTGCAGCTCCTGAACTCCAAGCACGTCAAGAAGGAAACGCATGCAAAAAGCGGAGGGATTAAGCCAAATCAAGGTACCTGATCCTCTCTTTTTCTGCCTTCTTCAGCTGCGCGTCCCGCTCCAAGACTTGGAAAATCTGCTTGGCTTCCTCCTCGTTTAGAAAACTCAAGTCTATCCCGCCTCGAGGGGCCCGATTCATTGTGGACTGGGCGCTACGGTGGTTAGCAAGAGCCGGCCTTGACCCTTTGACTCCGCAGGTTGCGTAAAGGCATCGTCCCCAAACACCAAGCCCTTGCCTCGCCGATCGGATCCCCTCAGAACCAAGGGTTTAAAATGTGCATTATGACTCCACTCCTTTTTCCGGGATTGGTACAGGACGCACTCGAGTAGGCAGTAGGAGCGCAACTCCAGGAGAACAGCCCTCACCTGGAGAAAAGAGGCACCGGGTTGAATGACTGCACGCTCGGCTAATCAGGGCGAGGGCGCCCGAGGCTGAAAGGCGGGACCGTGCCAATCCCTCGTTGGCGGTGAGGTGGGGCCTCCCTTCCCCCCCCCCGGTAGCTGAGGGGGAGGAGGCGGCGTGGGGTGTAGTAAAACGCCTCATCTTTTGGGTTGAGGAGCAGGCCCAGCTGCATTCTCCTCCTCAAATGTTTGCTTTAAAAGTCTCAAGGGAGGAAAATGTTTGCCATGGCCAGCTGCAGTTGTAAAATTGTGAGAGATGGGACGTACATTCAAAGGGATGTGTGTGTTTGTAACTCTATCGTAGGTCCCTCGCAAATTTAGTGTTGGATGCACACCTGTTAGTAGACATGTGGGATGGTTCTAGGGGGAAAAATGCTAGATGATTCAGTGATTTAGGTATTTGGCTACAGAGCTGGAGGTTGGGAGTTCATTTTCCCCTTGTGCCTCCTTATCAGGAGCTGAACTCAGTGGGCCATAGGGTCCTTTCTAGCTCTGTACTTCTAAGATGGCAACAACACAATGATGATTAGCTGGCTGGATAGCTCAGTGGTTTAGTTATCTAGTTGCAGAGCCAGAGATTGGGAATTCAATTCCTCAGAGTGCCTCAGGTAGAAGGGAATTCAATTCCTCAGAGTGCCTCAGCTATCTTGTGTGGCCTTGGGCAGAGCTGCACATTCTGAGGTCACCCCCAGAAAAAGGGAATGGGAAATGACTTCCAAGTCTTCTCTGCCTAGGAAACCCTGGAAAGGGTCATCATAAGCCAAAATTGACTTGATGGCACATGATTATGAATAATGGTTTAAGGGCCGATCTTTAAAAGCAAAACAGCCATTCTCAAAAAGAAAGTGGTGATGCCTATATATTTGTGAGACACTTTATAGAGGAATTCCGTTGTTGTTTAGTTAAGTTGTGTCAGACTCTTCGTGACCCCATGGACCAGAGCACGCCTGGCCCTCCTGTCTTCCACTGCCTCCCATAGTTGGGTCAAATTCATGTTGGTAGCTTTGATGACACTGTCCAACCATCTCGTCCTCCAACATCCCCTTCCCCAATTACAGTAAACACACTTTCCCAACATCAGGGTCTTTTCCAGGGAGTCTTCTCTTCTCATGAGATGGCCAAAGTATTGGAGCCTCAGCTTCAGGATCTGTCCTTCCAGTGAGCACTCAGATATTTCTTTCAAAATGGATATGTTTGTTCTCTTTGCAGTCCAGGGGATTCTCAAGAGTCTCCTCCAGCACCACTGTAATCTGTTGTTACATGCTGTCAAATTGGAACCAATTTATAGTAACCCTGATAGGGTTTGCAAGTTCAGTAAGTTTTAAGGAGTGGTTTTACCAGTTCTACAGCCTAGTGAGTTTCCATAGCTGAGCAGGGATTTGAACCCAGGCCTCCTGAGTCCTAGTTCATCGTTATCCATTACGCCACATTGGATATCTTTAAATAGCTGTACAGTATGCTTCTAATTTTTTAAGGGTTAAGCTACTGGACATCAAGCAAGGTTTATTATATTGTTTTCACTGATTGTGAATCATTTTGGGTCTTCCTCCACGGAGAGACTGGTGGTGTTTAAATTAAATAAATGTAGAGTAGAAGCACAAAACAGCCCAGTAAGAATTTAGCATGCTCAGCTATACCCTGGAGCCTCCGCATGTGAAAAGTGCAGAGGAGGTACAGAAAACTGAACAAATGTAAGTAAGAGCGGAGATGGAATTTATGTGGTCAAAACCTGAATCTGCCATAAGGAAAAAGCTGGCTAGAATGCTGAACACCACTGCAATATTTTGTTGTCCCTGTTATGTGCCATGAAGGTCCTTCCAGCCCTATGAAGAATGTGTGACGTCCAAAAGGTCCTACCATCAACAGCCCTGCTTTGTTCTTTCAAACTCAAGCCTGTGGCTTCTTTTACAGAATCAAATGGATACTCAGAACTTCTTTGTTTAGGGAATCTACTGTAGCTAGAATATCACTTCTCATTCCATATATAGTAAAAGTCTTGGTGCAATACTTTGCACATGACTTTGCTTAAATGGAAAATTGATGCTGTAGTCCTATTGTTATTGTATCCCTTGGGACCTCCGTCTTTAAAGTAGTAAATAAATAGAATAGAAAGTACAGAAACAATATTATCTGGTTATCAGAACAAACAAGAGGCAGTAAGTAACAGTAGAATGTTTTGTTGCATCATAATGAGATTTGACTGAGGCTTTAAGCCTCTGACTTTTAACACCTGCGACAGACATTTCAGAGAAAGTGTAACATAACTGGCGAGCGGCCACAGCAATAAATAAATATTCCTTTTGAACATAGGGATAATTTTTTAAAAAGCTGTGTCAACATAATACTAGAATCTGGGACCATCCAATGGTACTGAACAGTAGGGGAGTATTTCTGCATGCAGTGCAAGCTTGAACTATAGAACTTGTATGTGTATGGTATAGTGGTGCAGAATAGCTTTAGAAAAGGATTGGATCAATTTGTGGAGGATAAGGCTTTTGATCGTCACAATGGCTTTATTCTGCCTCAGAGTATCAGTTGGTGGTATCATGCTTTGGTCCTGTGAACATCTGACTGGCCTCTGTGCAAAAAGAGAATGCTAAAATACATATGCCTTTGATTTTATCCAACAGAGCTCTTCTTACATCCTTATGATATGGCTTTAGTGGATTGGAGATGCAGCACTGCATGAGTCTAGCATCTTGACTTTGGCTTGGATAAAATTATCAAGAGGAAATGTGTTTCCAAAGCTTTGCTTTAACAAAGAATCACAGTTTATACCACAGTTAGGTGTGAAGTTGCTTTTGAACAGCAGTATTTACACATCACTCTATAACCCACATAGGAACTAATAAACATAACAAATGTAAAAATGTCATACACTTTTGCAGACTTAAGTAGACATATGAACTTGAAGAGTCAACCAAAACACCTAAAACGGTAATAGTTTGTAACAGTATAAAACAGTCTCCGCGTTTGGACATGAAAGAGCCTACCACCAGACATAATTTAATATTGCTGTGGAGGACGCTGCTGACAAATGTGGTTTTAATGAACAGGCAAGCGTGAGAAGTTCAACTACTAAATTGTTGCGTCTCTTCCTAACCTTGCACGTTTACTTATTATGGGAAAGTTTAAACCTCTTTATTTCTTAGTGGGGGTTTTCAAAGTGTCAGAATTGCAAAAAAAAGTCTAGAAGGTACACTTAACAAAAGAAGGTGCAGTACAGGAAAGAAGGATCTAAAATATAAAATTAAATGTGCAGAACTGTGCAGCAATTAGCCCAGCGGTGCTGAAGAACTGCTGGATCAAGTTTGTTCCTGTTTGCATTAATTGCTATATTAGGTAACAGGGAAGATTAGAAAGTAGTGTGCTAGACAACTTTAATTATAAAGCCACACATTAAATTACAGAAGGAAAGTCATACTGTGACATAAATGTAAATAATTATATTCTTTTCTTTGCTGTAGATTGTAGGTCTTTTTTGTTGTCCTTGTTGCCGCAATTGAAAATAGACTGTTCCAAGTGGTAACTTCTGACAACAGAAAAATAAGAAATGTAATTCTGTCTTAATAGAGAGTGCCTTAACTGAGTGTTCTGATTATGAAAAGAAATGTGGGATGATTCCTAAATTCACAAGTCTTTCCCCCAATCGTTTCCGGTTTAAGCTAAACAAAAACGTTTGTGATTGAATGACTGATAGGTTGAATGAATGAATGAATGAATGAATGAATAAATAAATAAATAAAGCAATGCTCCCTCTGGTGATCTTCTAGAATAGTAAATAAATGACTCCACCACCAAGCACAGTTTAAACTCTAAGATAGTGGTGCGTAATCCGTGATCTTCCAGTTATTACAGGACTACAACACCCACCATCCTTCACAACTGGCTATGCTGGTTAGGCCTGATGGGATCTGTACTTCAACAACATCTGGGTACCCACAAATTGCCCAGCTGTGTTGTAGACATTATTTTAATTCATCACTAGTAGCAGATCGTTGATCATAAAGTCTCCTTTGCAGACTCAAGTCAGTGAACATAATCGTATATGGTTGGTCCAGTGCATATTTAAGCTCATAATTTGTAAGCTCAGGGAAAGTTCGGTATGCATGTGCAGGAATAAATAATTAAAACTGAACAGAATGGAGTATTTGGAGTTTATGTACAGTTTTGTGTACACATGCTGGAGGAACCATAGACTTGTGATTGTAAATTTTCTACAGTTTCTCCATGTGAAGTGAGACAAACAGGGATTGAGCCAGCATTAATAAGAAACAGTTTCTGATATGGTAATAGATACTGTTATTTGTTTAGTAATCGGCAGCACTGAGATTCATAATTATTTTGTGCAGGATCTATTGATACTGGGTACCTGACATGGTGCCTATAGCTACATCCCCTGGTCCTATAGCTACATCCCCTGGTCCCCAGCAGGCTTCCTGCTCTTCTGACTGTTGAAATAAAGTTTCTATAAAAATATTTATTCTAACTGGTTATGGTGATGTAAAACAAAGTAAAATGCCACTGTGTCCTTGCACATCATCCATTTGCTGTCTGTGAAATAGTTATTTTACTCTGCTTTGTTTAAAAATTTGACTAGCATTTGACGTTCAGGTCCTACTTTGCTAAAACTTGGTTTAATGGATAGGCTTCCCTGTTTTGAAGAAGAGCATGACCTGTTCTTATGGGACATGGTGGTGCTGTGGGTTAAACCACTGAAGCCTCTGTGCTGCAAGGTCAGAAGACCAGCAGTCATAAGATTGAATCCATGTGACGGAGTGAGCTCCCATTACTTGTCCCAGCTCTTGCCAACCTAGCAGTTCAAAATCATGTAAATGCAAGTAGATAAATCGGTACCACCACGGTGGGAAGGTAACGGCATTCTGTGTCTATTTGCGCTGACCACGTGATCACGGAAACGGTCTACGGACAAACGCTGGCTCTACAGCTTGGA